GCCAAAATAACTGCAAGGCTTGCAAGTCTGAATGTATTGCAAGCCTTTCCCAAGGCACCCCAACACTATCTGAGGCACTGAAACTATGGCAACCGAATAAGAAAGCAGCTTCCATGATTAATAGATGAAGATCCCAGCGACAGTGCCTTGCTAGGCCATAATTCAGAAATGCAGGAAGAATTAGCATAGAATCTATCTCAATCTACCAATAAAAAGTAGATTTCAAAAGGCATCAACAAAACCACATTTTTTTTCTGCTCAAAACAACAAGAAAAAAAACACTGTGGAACTATAAACTGTTCAAAAATCTCATTAACATTTCAATGAATGGCTGCCTCAAATGCAAGTAATGGATAAATGTTCACAAACAATGGTGAAGGAAGCAACATAGGAAATTTCCCATACGACTACCAAAGCCATATGAGGAATATATAAAACATCTGAGTGAAGCTGAGCAGACAGAGATAGAAAAGTAGGAATAAAGTTTGCTGCAGTCAGGAATATATTTGGATGCAGTTTTTCCCATTGTGTTGGGGATTCATAAGGGAGAGTACTTTTTCCATCTGCTGAACTGGAACACACAACCATATCTACTGTATGTATATTCTACACATTTGCATTATTAGAACATCCCACGAGCCTGTCAGGGTCACTGTAAAACTGATGATGGTTAGGAATACCTTTTCTTTTTAAATATGTAATAAAACTTCTACTATTATCTCCAGTAAAGATACTAGTATAGTAGTCCTTATCTATCTGGATGGCCTCAGACTAAGGTGTAACAAAAATATTCTTGTTTTTTCTAATTTCATAAACATTAAGTTTTCTCTAAAGGCAACTGGTAACAGAGATCATAAAAGAATAGGAATGCGCTTTTTTTCTGCCTGCTTCATGGAAAGGCTATAATCTCGCAGTCAGGACATGGCTCTACCTGGGGAGGGTGAGAGATGATGCCAAAGGCCTCCCATATTGAGGACAGCCATGTCACATGATGTACAGCAGTGCTGTGCATCTGCCCTCGGAAACTCTTTAAGTTCAGAACTTCAGGCATGTTGCAAAGTGTATTTATGTAGAAAGTTCCTCCGTAGCAGTTTTGTCAGTAGCTAAAAAAATAAAAACCTCAAAATGGCACAGGGTAGTCCATGATATGTGAATTTCAAGTATGTAGTATATATACTTTATATAGAAGAGCCTATTATTAACAATACTTTTAAAGGAAAGGTCATCACTGAATGTAGTGAATTACCATATGTCTTCACTCTAGAGATGCAGCAACTGGCAGTTCTGTTAATAGCTGGTTTATCTACTTCATTTTACATCTCTATTTCAGCCACTGAAGAAACAGTTTGGAGCTCAGGGAAAAATTCTTTTCATACAAAAATGACCTTGTATTCATATCAAGCATAGCACAACCCTTCTTTCGGCTGATAAATAACTATAGTTTTATACTGGCAAATATTTTGAAAGGTTTTGCAGCAAGTGATGGGAAAATTCATGTTGGGTCTTTCTCATTTTCTTCTTCCTTTATTGAATACTGTTCTTTTTCTAAGTGAAACCTACTTCCTTTCTATTAAACTGTATCTTGAGTTAAACTTCAGATTTCAAAGGGCATAAATCTGTTAGCCTCATTTATATTCATCTGGTGCATGAAAGCTGAGAACATGATTATTTTATGGGGTGGAGGCATAGATCTCTCATCCCCTTCCCTATTTCCAGTGCCTCCACTATTAACTGTGAGCAACCTGTGTTAAGTCTGAAGTGACAAAAACTGCAAATGCCTCTACGTATGCCTGTCTCTCAAAGAACCCCTTCCAAGACTTCCAGAATACTCTGATTTTGTAGGTGCAGAATATTTTTCTATTTTCTTTCTTCCTCCTTTTCCATATCACATTTAATTTTGAATCCTTTCACATCTTCCAGTGGCCAAAAAAAACCCAGGCAAATGAGCAGCTTGGGAACTCCACAAAGCACACGGGAGGCGCAATATCTATAACTCTAACACAGTAGGTGGCACTCTTCCCTTTAAATCCTAAATAGGTGCCTTGGAGCTGTGCTGCCATATTGCAATCCAGACCCAAAGCCAAAGCATCCTTCACCATGAACAATTAAAGTTCCCTTAATACTGTATAAACATAAGCAGTTATTTCCACGGCCATAGGTAACACAGCACATAAAGAAAATAAAGACACGTAAACTCCAGTCTGCCAGGTTTGCACTTGAATCGGGGTAGTCCACTTCTGCCTTCACAGAACCTATGCACATCTAAGCTGTTCTTGACTCAAGAGACTGGTGCAACAGGACAAAAATAAAAATATTCCTCCTGTCAGGCTCAGGACCAGGCTTTCCCCCAGCTGCTTGTTTCTGCCTTAGAACACTGATCACAGTTGCTGTATGCCGCTGATCAGCAGTCGGACTCTGTGCTACTGACTGTATCTTACTGCCAAAACATCTCACCTACCTCAGAGCAATCCTGATAATCAGAATTTATGAGCATGAAATGCTCAAATGGTCACCAGTAAAAAGCACTGCTTATTCCTCTGATTTTTCTGCTGCCCCATCAAGCAAAGCTTGTCGCAATTTGTCAGACATTACTTGTTCCATGACACGCGGACCTAGGTCTAACTTAACATTAAAGATCCATCCAAAGCTAATGTACTCACATGATAGCTTCAGGTGCTTAACAAGTATCGATTCCCGTCAGAGAACAGTATTTTCAGTTTGGGGCTTAAATAAGAAAAAAAAGTCCCCATTTAAGTAATATTTCAGCAAGTGTCTTTACTCTCAGAAAATTACTTGGGCAAGCAAGGCTTTCCTGGGTCAGCAAAGCTTACTTGGGTGAATGAGGGCTAAAGATTTACTTCATCAATAAATGAACAGTAGGAGGTCAAACACTGCAGCATCTGTATCAAATTAGGATAATGAAAACTTCTGGTTTACTACGGTTCAACTTTTCTCTAGCATATGCTGCGTGTAATATAATTTGAATGTTGTTTTCCAGCATTTACTGGCTTGTTTGTTTTCAGCACTCTGCTATAGCATATGGGAATCAGGTACTATACACAAAACATTTTTTTGGGTAGTATTACAATATGTTCTTGCTAACAAGTTGGATGTGAGGCATGTATTAGCTCAGGTCAATTTAATCCTAAAACATTTATTATAATCCTAAAACATGCTGTAAACCATGTGAACTCCTTTCATCTGTATTTATGTATGGCTCTTCAAAACAAGATGACAAACTTCCCCTTCCCCTCAGAAAACATGCACAAGCAAGTTCACAATCACCTACTTCCTTTTAAATGCAAACAGTTCTAGTCTAGATTTATCACAGGTCATTAATTTGATCTCTCTCTCCTTTTCTTTCCTTTTTTTTTTTTTATTCTTTTCAAAAATGTAATGAAGGCAAGTCCTCATCCTTAGCCCAATCAACTTCCTTCTTCAGTCTTAAAACGCCAGTAACTGCAATCTTCTATTTACAAACATTAAGAAGGGTCTCTGGCTAATATTTAATATTCACTTTCACCTTCAAGCAGCTAGAAATTTTAGCTAGCCATGTTTCTCACAGATGTCAGTGCCCAATTATTTTTTGGTTCAAGTAGTATGAGTTCAGTTGATAAGGTTGGTTTTGCCATTAAGAATATACAGTTTTCAAGCAGACTAATTGAGTATACACAGAACATCTGTGACTGTATATTTCATACTCCCTGAAAGTATTCATCCATCCTTCAAGCATTTTATTCCCACTACATGAAAAGCAAATTTTGCAAATTCATGTTACAGTATTACTTACTATTATAAATTTTGTTTAGCATTTTAATAGAAATCTCATTTGGGCATACTGCTCTGAACTAAACTTCCACAAAAGCCAGGTATTTTCTCCAGTGAAGAGTGGTGGAGAACAGAAATCAAATTTTTAATGCATAAGAAAATGTTTGGCTTTAAAAAGAGTTAGTTCTCTTGGTCTTGTAATTTTTGAGAGCTATGATATTAAAACCAGGCTCGTATTAGATAAAATTATGCCCTAGATGGTAAAACACTTTGGCAACTCTCTGAATCCCAGTGAAACAGGTATTTGCTTTCAACCAGGTCTGAGGCAATTCCATGAAGAAAGGGGTTTGTTGGAGCAGACCCACATTACTTCACAATACATTAGTCTCATTAAAAAAAAAAAAAAAAAAAAAAGAAAGAAAGAAAGAAAGAAAGAAAGAAAGTAGAAGCTAATCATAGCAGGATCATTTTGCTTTTCTGGTCTGAAATGGCAAAGGAAACCCTAAGCATGATAACAGCTACGTAAATGTTACTTTGAGAAAAATGCCACAGATTTCTCAAAATGAATTCCGTGACTAAAAGAGCCTGACTCTACTGGACTTCATGACATTGATGCCAAAGGAGTTAATCACCACGTAAAAATTACTTGGATGAGAATGGCTTGTGGATGACACTTAAATGAAAGCGCACCAAAAGCAGTCACTGAACTAATTGTTCTGAAGATGGTGGAAAATTCACACCTTTAGCTGCTATCTTTGAGGTCAAGTTAGTAATTAGTATCGTTGCTGTATGATACAAAACAAGTGAGCAGAATCTATGTCAAATAATAAGCCACGTCGTGCAAACCTGTGACAGAAAATGGTTGCGGAGACTCAGCACTTCGTTATTTACAACACCTGCATGTTGTGTATGCTCCTTTGGAAAATGAAGCATTCACCTTGAAACGCCAGGAAGTGGCACCTTTTACAATATATTACAGAGCCCTTATTTTTTGCCTATTAGTGAAATAATTATCTGCAGCAGCTAAACATCCGCGCTGTACAGATGCTGGCACAAACGTGCATGTTTACAAAGTTCAAAAGTAGCAATTAGCTCGGGAAAGGAACAGAACAAATTACTCCCTGAACAAGCGGTCAAGGTTAGAAAAGACAGGGCCATTTGCCTAGGGAAGACCCAGCAGTTAACCGCCTTGCGACTCACTCCGAGATGAGCCAGGCAGGACAGAGGCGGTGATGACGGGCAGAAAGGCATCTCTACTGCAATTGACCGCGGTGCAGCCTCAGTCCCGCTTCCCCCGCCAGCCCCCGACTCACATGCCGTCAGGGCTACCCCCGGGAAACACCTCCCTTGGACAGCCAGGCAAGAAGGGAAGGGGAAGTGGGACGGTCGAGCCCTCGCAAGGAGCACGTACTTTCACCACGCGTGATGGAGACCCGAACTTTCCACCGCCCTCCCCGGCAGCGGAGCGAGAGGCGGTGTTGACCCTCGGCCGCCCCAAGGCTGCCCGAGCCGTCGCCCCCCGTGCCTCGGCGCCGCGTCGCCAGAGCAGCGCCGATGAGGGCACAGCCTCCTAATTCCCCCTGCCCTCGGCTGGGGGTCTTCCTTGCCCGTGCACTTGAGGGGACGGGGTGTGTGAGTGTGTGTAGGAGTAAATACTTCTTCTCCTGTTCAACACCCTTTCCCCTCAGAAGCATCCTGCCCCCTCCTCGGCATCAGAGGCACGAAGGAGCCCCGCTCCCAGTCCCCGCCCAGCCTCCCCGCGCCGCGCTGCCGGCCCGGCCGCTCCGCGGCGGCGTGAGGAGTTTGCGGGGCGCCGCCAGCCCCTCCTTGGGGGCCGGCCCTGCAGTTCTCCCTTAAAAAAAAACTTTCTCTTTTCCACCGTTTCGCCCAGCTCTCTCGGAGCCCGAGGGAGCGGCAGGGCGAGTGCTGGGCGGAGGGAGGACAGCTGGGCTGCCTCGCAACGCTCCCTGCCCGCCGGGCCGCCCCGAAGGGGTCCGACCTTCCCCGGCCCGTCTGCCTGCGCTCCCTAGCCGAGCAGAAGCGGCTTGGCAGAGCCACCAGCCCGCGGGGGAGAGGCTGGTGGCGCCAGGCAAAAAGGGGCGGGGAGCATCCCTGCCCCAGAGCCACCCTTCTTCCGCGGGGCTGCAGGAGAGCAGCCGGCAGCCCACCTTGGCCAGAGCCAGGGCGGAGGGGATGGCGACCACCGTCCGCGGGGAGCGGGCAGAGAGGGGAGCCCGCGGCCCCAGCCCACGACCGCGAACAAAGCCCGCGGCTGCGCCGAGGGCTGCTCCGCGGAAGAAGTTGCCTTGGTTCCAGGCTACTTCCCCCTAAAAAGCAGCCGCAGCCTTAGAAAAATACCGAATAAATAAATACATGGCCCGCGACTCAACTACCTCGCGGGAAGAGCAGAGACGGCGGGGTTACGCCTCTGCACGGAGCAGCCACATAGTTCTTGTAACAAAGACCCCACCACCCAGCCCCGCATGATGCCCAGCGGCCCGGGGTGGCGGGCGGTGGCCTCGGCCCCGGCTCCGACGTCTCAGGGCTGCCTCCCACTCCACGGTGCCCCGGCGGGCGCGACCCCTGCGAGCGGGACTCGGGGGTGGAAGGCGAGGAGCCTCAGCGCGGCGCATGCAAGCCGTGCCAAGGGCTAGGGGAGGCAGCCGGGGCTAGGTGTTAGGCAACTGGGGGAAGGGGAGGGAGGGAAGAATAAGAGCGGGGGGGGGCGAAAAAAAAGATAAAAGAAAGACGAAGCCACGAGCCGGGAAAGTGGCAACAGCAAGCGCAGCGTGTGCACTTGCGGGCGGTTCTCCTCCTCCCTACGCGCTGCAAACGATGTCGAGACAGAAGGCAGCAGCCAGCCTCAAACCACACACCACCCTCGCTCCTTCCGAGGCTGCCGGGGCGACCCGGGAGCCTTCCCTTCCGAGCAACCCAAAAACAGGGATATGGACGGGGGAGTACTGTACCTTTTCGGTGCATGTATCTGGGCAGCTAGAGGACAACTAGATGATGTAGTGTCCCATTTAGTAATCCATTTTAGGGGATCTCTCTAGGAAATTGGAGCCACTCTCTCCTTTGCGATCCTTTGTCATTACTACATATGTGCTTCCAGGGGGATGGTATATTTAATATTTCTACTTTCTGAATTGCAAAAGCAATTTGTTCATTTCCAATGATGGGCGAAAAGGGGAGGGATCAGGTAGAAGAAAAAAAAGGCAAAAAAAACCACACGTTAGCAACTCCTCTCCAGACCCAAATTCCACTGGGGCTCCACTCCAGCGAGTCCCCTTCAGCCGAGCCTCAGGAGGTAAGTCATTTCGTGGTCTCCTTCTGCTCCCTCTCTACCAAAAGTGCTCCCGTTGTGACGGCTGTTTCAGGAAAACTCCGAGGCTGGAGGCACTCGCTGTGCCACGGCAGGAAAGCGCAGTCGCTGCTCGCCTCAGGCTGCCGGGCATTGGACTGTGCGCGGCGAGGACCAGGGAGCCGCTGCCTCTCTCTGTCTCTGTCTCTCCCGCCGCTCCCGCTCCGCCGCCCGTCTCCCGCCGCTGCCTCTGCCCCGCCGCCCGCGCTGCCCGAGGGACGCGGCTCCGCCGGCGGAGGCGGAGACAAAGCCCGGGACTGGCGCGCGCCGGGCGGGCGCGCCCGCGCCCCGCCCCGCCCCTCCCACCGCCTTGGGCGGGGCGCTGGCCGGGAGAGGGCGGGGCGAGGGGGGGCGGGGCCGGGCGAGGCTGAGGGAGCCCGGCCGGGAGGGGCGAAGGGAGGGCCTGGCCGGGCGGGTTCGGGATCCGCGGGGCTGCTGCCGCTGCTGGCAGCGACACCCCGGGGCCGGTGCTGGGCGGCACGGGGTTTGTGCCGAGCAGGTGCCTGCGCAGGGGGCCCGCCGCTGCCGGCCCTCGCCCGTCCCATCCGAGTTGCCGCTGCCTACGGCCATCACAGTTGTTACACGCCCGCGAGGCGCGGAGAGTCGGCGGGGGGCGCCTTAAAAGCGCGGTGCGGGGCAGGAGGCGGCCGGCCGCGGTCCCCCGGGGGACGGGGCCGCGGCAGCGGGGGCCGCTGCGGGGCCCAGGGCGGCAGCGCAGCCTAGTGCATGGAACCGGGCCGTGCCGCCCGGCCGCATCCCCCGCGGGACCGGGACGGCAGCTGGTCGTCCGCTTGTCGCCTTTCCCCTTTCCCTCCGCCCCAGTCCCGCCGCGGTGGTCGCTGGCTGCGCTAATCCCTGTCTCGGAGCCGATCCAGCCGGGAGCAGGAGCAAGCGGCGCTAATACATTAATCCCCCCTCTCCCCATCCCCGCCCGAGGCCCCCCGCCGCCGCCGACGGCAGTAATCCCCGGACCAGCGCCGGGGATGTGCTGGCACCGCTCCCTCCCGCCGCGCACGGCGCCCGAGCCGCCCCCTGCCCCGGCGCCGTGCCAGGACGGCGGCAGCGGGAGGTGCAGAACCTACGCGGTTCTGTCCGGGGCCAGGCAAGCTCAGCCGCTGCCTAAGGTGTCCGTCCCGCTCGCCCACGGGTGCTTCTCGCCCGCCCGTGGATCCGTCCCGTGGCCCTTCTCCCTCCTTCCGCAGCGCTCCCGCGCCCCGCTGACCTCTCAGAGCATCGGGGTGGAGCGGACAGTCTGCGGAAACGGTCTACGCTATAAACCCTACAAAATAGCCCAAAGTCGGTGAGCTGAAAAAACCGCGTGCTCGTTTCCTTGACGGCGGCATGCGATTCCTCAAGAGTTTTTGCAGTAATTTCCACCCTGTAGATCTCGCTGCAGTTAAGGCTACAAGGAGAGCCTTTAGTTACTTCAGCGCGAAGGTATCTAATTTCCAGGGGATTCATTTACATGTGCAATTGCTTTAACAGGATTCCCCCCCCCCCCCGAACCACATAAGTGAAAGGACAGAATGCAAGTAGGGGATTTGCTGTCAGGTCACGAAGTGTGGCATTAAAATTAGAATATTTACTTGTTTATGACAGTCGCTTTTTCTTCCTTATATTTTCAGATCATGAAAGGACTCTGAGACATTGGTTTTAGTTCTGTACTTGATTTGAGTTCTAAAATTAACCACATATCCATTCAATTTCTAGCTGTTAAATTACAAGGGAAAACATCTGTATCAAGGAAAAGTTTCTTCTTTCTTTTCTGACAGTTTAAACTGAATGTATACTTAGTGTAATTTTTTGACCAAAGGAATTAAGACCTAATATATATTTTCTTTCTTTCTTCCCCTGTAAATTTAAAACAGAATAATTGCTGGGGACAGATGAATTTTAGTGAAACAAACTTACCCTAGTTCTGAAAGCAATTAGAGAAACACAAGTGGTACAAATAATTTCTGGGTACCCAGGCATGTGTCAGGGGTGGAAACCAAATGTACCTTGATTTGCCAAGACCCCTAACCCCATTTCCACGAAGAGGCCCTAGATCATATCATGGTACTTCTCCCTCTGTCAGGAGATGAGAACAGAGACTGAACACAGTCAAGATTTGTGGAAAATACCCATTTGACAACGGCAAAGGCTGACATCCTGTCATCCCATTATGTTCAATGACTGCATACGTTTTGAGGTGTTCAAAACTGCCACTGACTTTGTTGTGGGTTTGGGCTGTAAGCAGATCTAGGTTTGGTCTTTACTGTGTGCTTCAGACACTTTACAAATATTTCTGCAATACTGAATGGTTTATTTTACATTTGCATTTCTTCAGTAATCAAAAAAAGGCTCTCTGACAGAGAATACTTTCCCCTCCTATATTTAGGGTTTTGAAAAATACAGACCAGATTTTTATAGAATAAAGTTCTCTAAGAAGCAGCACTAAAAAAAATCATATTTTCCAGACACTGGTACTAGCTAAGGCATCAGTTACTAGAAGTTTTATGTTCAGGTTCTTTTACAAAAGTGTTTTCCATTCATCCATTTTCTTTCTCTGTCTTTAATTTCCAAGCCTGCACTCCCTAACTTCTTCACTTAAATCACACATTGTACCCTTTTTCATATAGCCCTCTGCCAAAATGACAGCCAGCTCTTCTGTCCTTTGTTACTGCTGCTTCTGCTCTTAACTTACTAGAACTGATCTACAAAATCAGACTTGTCTTCATGGCTTAAAAACCCACTATGTTTTGTTTTACCTGACTCCCTGTTCCCTTTCTCACTCAGTACCCAATCCAATAAACTATTCTCCTCATCTTTTCTCTCCCACCAAGTTTTTTAGGCTCTTTTCCTGGAACTTTAATGTCAATCTCAATTCTCCATGCTGTCAGATTTTCTGAAAACAGAGACACAACCTTATTTGTTTTGCCTAGACTAGTTAAGTGTGGGCTACTCACATGGCCTTGGGGAAGAGAATTATTACCCTTATTGATGGGAAAACATATTTTTTCACTGGCTGCTTTTTTGGCAGCTGCAGCAGTAGAGTGCAGTGGGTTTTCCAGTCACAAATTCTTGGTGAGGTCTCCATGGAGCTGTGCATTTTAAAAGCCCTATCTGAACAATGCACACAAGCTATAGAGAACTTCTCCAACTCATTCCAACCCTTTTGCAGAGTAGGTCTCTACCAAAGATTTGACTTGAATTCATAAGAAAATGTTACCTCTACCCTTCCTTCCCCACCATATATGAAATATGTTGACTTAAAGTTTGTGAGACACCTGCTTTATACTGAGGAAGGAATTTGGTTCTCTTCCATGGATAGCAACTGCCACATTCAGTTGCGATGTTCAAAATTCAATGCTAATTGCCATACTGAGCCCCACATTGTACTCATCTATATCTTCTACTCTACCAACTTCCCAGAGCCATGCAACAGTACGAGCAGCATCACCTTAGATATAGCTCTGAGGAGCTGGTATGCAGGGGTGCAATGGTACCTTGTCGAGCTCACCCCCAGTCATTGTCTTCCTGCATCAGAATAATATGTGCAACATTTCCTAATTCCAGCTATTGTTCAATTCAGTTCAGCTTGTTCTTGCCCATATTTCAAAAGTTCAAAGTGCAGCAGAGTTTTACATTGTCAAGAAACAACACAGTTGTTGTGGTAGAGCTGAGGATTTTTTGACAGCTATCTGAGGGGGTTTTGCTCTGAGGAAGGTATCAGATAGTTTTGATGTCCATGAGGCACTTGAAGCCTGTAACCTAAGAAGGGCTTGTACTCCTTTTTCCTCTCTCCTATTCTGGCATCAGAAGAGATGGTTTTACCTGTGGAGATATATCTCACCACAAATAAAAACAAAATGTTGAATGCAGGCACATCTTACATAAAAGAAGTGTTGACTTCTTTAATCTTACAGTAATAGTGAAATTGCATCAAACTGCAAATATGATTTTTGTCAAGACAAGATTATTGAAT